ACTTTCATCATAATTGTTCAGATGAGCTCTTCATTATAGTACCTAGACTTTTTGAATTTAAGTGAATGGTGAACTATAAAACAAGAAAATTTGAATAAACATAATTTTTTCCGGACATAATGTTTTCTTCTCAAATTACTTGTTTTAATTTCTATAAATTTATGAATAAAAGAATTTCTTTTCATATTGATTTCTTTATGAAATGAAAAATAAATATTTCATCAAATTTGGTTCACATATTTTTATAATCTTCTAAATATAAAATTATTCTTGTAAATAATCGATCTAATGAATAAATAATGTTTAACATCTTTGTTGTCAGTTCTCAAAAATAAAGAAAATTTATAAATCCACTTTCATATTTTGGGTTTTATTAAAATTCTAATCATTGCTTTTTAAAACAACAAACATTACCGAGGGAGTTAAAAGGGTATACAGTAATAATGGTGTCAAAGGAATAACTATTCTTTTGACACACCTTTTTTTGTGGGGGGTGCTGAAGTTTAAACATTGCCATCTTTATGTCATTATTAAGGAAAAGTATAAGAAACAAAGAAATAAAAATAAAGGTAACAGGTAATTCTGTTTATTTATATATAAGTTAAAACTTCAGATGAAGTTTTTCATCTGTTACAGACAACATATGGTGTTTGAATCAGAAACCGCAAGAAACACTACACCCATTCATTGGCACCATGACCGTGGCTAAACGTTAGCAGGTTATAATAAAAATGCATGAAAGACAAGTTGAAATGCCGTAGTAACGTTTCAAAGTTCTTAAAAACAGTTGATGCTGCAGCTAGCATCACCAAACAGTAATGGAAGGTCCATGCAGCAAATCCAGGAAACCGGAAATTGATGCTATGAGAATTAGTACCAGATTATGTGCTGGGTTGGTGATGACCAACCTATATTACAGTTCAAAAGGTTGTAGCCACCCCTGGTAATTTTTTAAATTGGCCCCAAAAGTTGTTTTGTACTTTAAAATAAAATTATTATACATAGTTAAAAAAAAAAAGGGAGACATGATTTTTATTAGAAATTTCATTATGACAGAAAGAAAAAAAAAAAAAGCATTTTAAGATTAAATTTTGCTCTGGTCAAAATATCCTCCTTTGGCTTTGATTACTGCAGCACAAATTTTTGACATTTGTTGCAAAAGTTTCTCAAAATATGATGATTTGATAATTAATTCCATTCTTTTTTCAATGACTTTTTTTCCTTTTTTTTTTTTCGCTCTTCTGTCAAATTCCTCCCATGCTAATTCGGGGGGGGGGCTTCAAACTTTTAAACAATAGTGTATATTAAAAAATGTCCATTCTTAAATCTTCACTCGGTAACTGTCTTGTTTATCCTGTTGGTAGAAGTTAAATCTATATCTGTTTTAGAATTTTTCTCAACAATCAGTCCTATCTGGCAGTAAATGCTGGACACTTATCTCACAGACTAAAAAAGAGACTTGAAGTAACAGAAATGTGGTTCTACAGAAGGATGCTGAGAATACCATGGACAGAACATATGAACAATGGCAAAGTTTTAGAGAAAATGGAAACAAAAAAGACTTATAATTAATTTTAAGCTGTTCAAATCTAGGGTTAAGCATTATTTCCACACATATCCATATAAGCTGTGCCTCTTTCTCTGTTACCGTCTACATCACTAAAAAAAATAATCTTCAAAAAATCTTTTATAGTCTAGAAATATTTTATGGCTTTAAATAACCTGTAAAGGGTTGATAAACCGTAAAAACAATTCAGTCAAGCCATTGACAGAACTGTGAGTTCAATGAACAAGTTTTCTGGCTTTAAATAACATAGCAGAAGGCTGATAAGCCATAAAAAAGCAATTCAATCAATCAATGAAGCCATCGTCATCCTCCAGAACTGTGAGCTCGATAAACAAGTTTTCTGGCTTTAAATAACCTGCAAAGGGTTGATAAGCCATAGAAAACAGATCAATCAATCAATGAACAGGTTGGTATATTTTGTGACATATGGTGGCCATTAATGATTAAGTATAACTGAAGACTTCAATGTTAAAATAAAACAGTATTTAATTGCAACTGCAAATAAATACTTAACCTTGGTTCAAAGAAGTAAAGATCAACCAAAGATAACCATTTCAGTGAATACCTTGTTTGTAGCGCGGATTGGTTTAACGTCCAGTAAATCCTAAATCAAAACCCAAATCATTGACGCACAATAATTCACACTAATTTGACTGGATAGTTCCACTCAATAGTCGCTCAGTAATCACTGCAGTCAGTAGCCTGACACCACTATTTATACATCTGGTGGAAAACATATATTTATAAGTCCAGAGTGTGACACTAGTACCTCAGTGTTGGTAGTTACTCATTTTCTTCCTATATGACAATAATAAAGGAGTATAAATAATTCACACTAATTCGACTGGATAGTTCCACTTAATAATCGTTCAATAATCACTGCAGTCAGTAGCCTGACACCACTATTTATACATCTGGTGGAAAACATATATT